CATTTTCGGCGATGGAAATGCAGCGCGCGTGGTTCGTTTCTGTCTCGTTTCGGGGCGTATGTTTTGGTCATCGAACTTGGCTCCTAGCCGAAACGTCGGCCTTGCGTCTCCGTGACGCGAAAAAGTAACGACCTAGCCAGGCCGGTGCATCACGAACAGGAAGAAACCCTGCCTTTGTTTGCGCCGGTGTTGGTTGCTTTTGCGTCTTTTATTTTTGTTGAACGTGGGATGCGAGCTGGCGTTGGTATTCTGGCGCTCCGTTCTTACTTTATGCATTTGTTCTCAAATTTTGTTTCGTGCGTCATTTCCGGAGGTTATCATAAAGGGCGTCATGCCGTTACGACGTGCCCACCTACCTGTGTCTCCGAGTGCCCAGTTGCCGGTTTTTACCCCCTGGCATCGACCTCGAGTGAATCATTTTTTCGACCCCAAACTACCTGGGGGGAGTTTCGTTGATTCATTACGACAGATGTGGTGTTTGTTCACCCGTTTGTTACAATCCGCTTGCGAAGCTTCACTGAAAGAAAAAGAAAAAAGCACGCCATCGAATGAATGACCCGGCAGGGGCGTTTTTTTTTTATGTAATGCAAAGTCCTTTACAGCGGGGAGTGTCACACGAGCTTGGATTACGTGTCAGCCTAAAAAACGAAACATGCCTTCAGAAAATTCGTTCTTGGAGCCCTGAATGCCATTGCAAACTGTGGATAAATGCGGTGTGCCTTTTTACTAAATGTGCTTTGAAAGACTTTCCAAGAAGAGAATGTTTTCTGTGAGCGAGCTTCGTTGAAATCACTCGCTGGCAAAAGGACACGTATCTCCAAAGCAGCTCATCTATGGTTTCGTACTTTGAAGGGGAAAAACAAAGGAAAAATTCTAAAGATTGAAGTCTTAAAGGTGTATGAAAGAAACCTCAAAGGTCTCTTCCTTGAAAAAGTATTTCGTGTTAATGGACTCTCGCACGTTTGCTTGTGCAAACACCTTTACACACACATAACTTTTGAATTCATGGTTTTTGAATTCATGGTCGGAGCAGTTTAGGTTGTTGGTCCGGGTAAGGAGGCACAGTTTCAGCTTAGGGAAGCTGGTAGTTTGGTTTTCCTAGAACTGTGCATTTACATGGCTTTTTCAGGGATCTAGACGGATCCCTAATCTGAAACTCTTTCTCCCTTGTGAACCCAGGTCATTTACTAAAAAAAAAAAAACAAAAAACAGCTGTTCAGTTTAGCCCCTTGTATTGTAGTGCAATAGACCTTTTTCAATATTATAAAGTTAGCTTTTGTGCTATGTGGTTTAAACAACTAATGGTGGCAGTCACTTAAAGTTAATGCAAATAGCCTGTTCAAGTGTGGTTTGCTTACACAATGACGTGGAAAATTTAGAGTTGGCTCTCTTGATGTAAACACTCATAATGGACAAGCCACAGCACGTTCAACTCGGACTTTGTCTCTGCTTGAAGCACGACAGGTGGCGCCATAACCTGGGCAAATTATGCAGTGCATAAAAGTGCATTTGCTAATTATAAAAAGAGTCTATTGCATATATGTGGAACATCTCGCTATAAGCAGTTGCTCTATGATTTTCATTGAAACAGGGTAGCTCAAATGGCAGTGTCCTTTTTAATGATCTTCAATGTACGGCAAGCTCAACTTGTTGAGTCATGCTGCTTGACATTAGGTTTTGAATTTTGTAGTGGTATAGAGTGACGTCAAGTTCATAGCTGCAAGTTCATAGCACTGAAATCTGGCCTACGTGTATTGTCATAGTTCACTGCAGGCATGTGTAGCTCTTCCCTCGAAGCAGCTGCGTTCTGCTTTGAATTGAATGTATTGTCAGTACCTCTACTGAAGCATAACCACCTAATTATATCCAGCCAATTCTTCGTTCATAACATACATTTATTTACTTTTTAAGGAGGTGAGAATTAGCGTTCCAAGTAAACACAGCATGGTCACTTGACCTTTCCGTCTTCAGCTGCGTGATGATATTTTGAGAGCAGGTGTTGTCATGACAGGTACAGCTTTCTCGCGACGAATTGCTTTGCTGTTCAAGGCATATCCTAATAGGAACTGGCACACATTAGCATAGCGATATTTTCAAGACCATCGTATGTGCAGACTACAAGAGTAAAATTCTTTACATTCGACAAAGGCCCCCAAGTCTATCCTTGCTTTTTGATTGAAGCAACGGCTTGAATTGAGGTGTGCGATGGTAATCTTTGTCGTGGTGTGTATTTCACGTTTTGACATATTATGTTGTCATCGACGTGACCTGCATGCAGCAGGGAGCCTGCTGCGTGCTTCTTTTGGTAGAAAGTGCCTGAGGAAATTGCCATAAATTTGGTGAATGTTCCTGTTCAACAAATGTGGGAGCTCTACTTACCATAGATTTACTTTGTGTATATACTACAGGAGAATCTTTTTGCTTTCTGAAGTTTTGAAAAATCTGCCATTAGGTGCATAACCTGCAAGAAACAAAGTGCACGATAAAGCACGCAGTTCTGTACAACACGAACACTGCAGTGACACCTTCACAGACGTGTCATCCAGTATGCGGCATGCATATGATATAGGGCTTAGCCTCGGGACGTGTGCGTGCTTGATACTTAATACTATACTTGCTCCTGAGTTTGGTGGCAAATGGTAACTTGCAGCATCATTCCTTTGCGTGCCTTCAGAGTGCTTTCACGGTCGTGCCCATAATTCTCATCAAGTCTTTGCTACCTTTCTCCGCTCTGTTTTCAGAAAAACTGTGCCTGTTTCATTTCAGTAACGCATAATTCTTATCTTTAATAATTGGCTTGTGAGGAACAAACCTGCAGAAATGTTGTGCACGCAGTGTAGTGGCATACAAAGTATAGTGGATACCTCTGAAGCAGGTGTTGTTTTTGTGCTACCAAGAGGGCCTTTACCTCGTGCGTTGTTTCATTATCATAAATGTACAAGGACGAGCTTTAATTGCATAGCATTGCACAGTGTGGCAGGTTGTTTAGTAAGATGTCGAACAGATGCTGAAAACTGTTTTAAAAAAAAAGTGGGTTGGGGAGACTAGTATTTCTTGTGGATAGATACTTGTAGTATTTGTAGGTGAACGCACATGCCCGGTCTATGTGTGGATTTATACTACGAAGTTGTTCTCAATGCCACTCTACTTTTACCTTTACATGATTAAATGTTGTATCGTTGCTGCCCGTGTGTGATTGCTGTATTGATGCCTGTGGTTTTATTACCTTTTTTGTTTGCATCGACTTTAGGGTTAGACAAGCATAGCGATCACTGTACAATGCTTTCAGGTAATAGGAACTGTTGTTCTCAGTGATATTGTATATTTCTTTTTATTTCTTTTGTTGCTCAGATCAATCTGGCTTCATTCTAGAGCTTTATCCAAGGTCATTTGAAGAGTGGATTAATTGTTTACTATGCCCATGCACTGTGAAGCTCGCAAATTAATTTTATTAATTGTAACTGACTTCATATTTCTAAAGTTGCACTAGCATGTTTAGCATTGAAATTCAAGCGTAAGGTTTCCGCATCTAATTTGCATTCTACAACATAATAGTGTGCAGTGTACACTGTATTGTAGGAAGGCTATGCTTTATTGGTGGTGGAAACGAGGCATCACTTGGCCTTTATCATAAATTCAAACAAGAGCCGACTCAGCCCATGCTTCAGGCTGTCAGGCCCGTGGATGTTATTGACGTACCAGACTTTTGTATGCGAACTAGTTTCTGACGTGGTTGTTGCCCTTTGCGTATGTTTTTGCTAGTGTAGGAATAGCATCTCGTGCATCTACAGCTGCACTTTGCACAGGGGCAAGCGTACAGGTCTTGGGTGGTTTTGTTGTGCCCGAGCTAGGTTACCTCTCGCTCGTCTATGCCTTGGCAGTCGCCTGATCATGATGCAATTGTCAGAAAACGAAGGGAATTACCTGTACTTTGCTGTCTGATGTGCGGATTCCTTTTATAATCGTGGAAGATTTCCTGCAATCGTGCCTATGAATCCTTCTTCATTCTTAAAGTTTCGCAGAAGACTGCTTGAGTGAGTCAACATTCATAGTCGTGATGCTCTTTGGCCTTTGTTGTGCTCACAGAAATGGCACGGGAGGTTGCTATCGGAAGAAAAATTTAATCACTTCATTTGAGGGGATCGCTGATTTGGTGAAAAGGTCTATCCACACAATGGAAGTAGCAGTCTAGAGTAACTGTGTTTGCCTTTGTATGATGCCCTTATATCCTATTTAGCCTGGTACTTCCAACTTTCATCAAGCTAATTGTAGTTGAATTTCATGCGGCTGAAGCTACTGTTGTTGTTCCAACACCTCAATGAAACTTTTCTTAGACTGATCTGAATACATTCTGCTCGCTGCATGTGCAGCATTGCATTTCAAGTGACACTTTTGCAGCCACAAGCATTGTTCTACTGGCCGAGCTTTGACATTTTACATTCCATTTGCATCGCAAAGGCGTTGTAGTGATGTGTCTACTAAGCTTGCGTGCACTCGGGAATGTTTCAGTGCACTGAACTTTCTGGCAAGCGTCCGCAAAGTGCCTCGAAAATCTCACAATGCCCCATTTGTCAAGGTAGCGCTCGCTCACCTGCAGCTGTATGCGCTCATACCGAACAGCTGGAACACTTGTTCAGTGCAGCGTGTTGAGCAGCGCGGGAACTTCCCATTGTCCAGCCGCACTAAGACACGCACAGCTTCGGAGACAGCCGGTGCATTTGTTCCTGGGCCTTGGCGTGTCCAACAAACTGAACAATGGGGGTTTATATGCGAAACTGAGGCTACTGCTCATCTAGACTGTGCGCAGTAGATTATGTATGTATATATGAAATCGTCGCATGTGGTTCCGCTATTCACGCGTAACTGTACGAACCCGTGAGCGCCGAAAAGTGATGGATGTGTGCCCGGTGTGTGAACGCAGATGCGTCTTCCCTTGTGACGTCAGCCGTGAGACGTATGTTTCTCGCTAGAAGGCTGTGACGCGGTGTCAGTGCCCGCTCGGTTTAAGCGAGTGCTGTTGGTAAAGAAACAAAAGAAGAAAAACATGACTTCGACCAGACGGGGTCAGTTCGCGAATCGTCAACTGAGCACGCGGCATCTGGTGTTGGCGTACAGACTGTGGAATAGCAGCTTTCATCAGGAGGCGGCATCCGACAGGTGTGTGTGTGTTGTTCGTGTATGTACATACGTACGTGTGGAGTCCAGCGTTGGGCAGTTTTAGTTGAGTGTCTGCAGCATCTACGCGGACGCTGGCTACCGCTGGACGTGGCTGGCTGCCGGCTTCTGCCGAGCTGCGGTGGTCACTCACCTGTCCACTTTTCGCCGCAGCTCTAAGCCCGCCCGCATCGTCGTCTTTGCGCATGCGCACTCGCAACGACGATTTTGCCAATATTGGCGCGCCTGCTCGCGCTTGTACTGCAAGGTTTTGTGAATCACGCTCTTGCCTGGCAACAAGCACTCACATACAAAAAAATTTAAGTGGGAGAGCGACCGCCGCCGTATTGGTGGAGCATTGGACGCGTTATCCAAAGGTTGTAGGTTGCACAGGGGGACCTGGGACCTGGAAAGATTGCCTTTTCGATCACTTTAATTACTTTCTCTTTATGCTATAATTACTAAACTATGTTTAATGGCTACAAATAATCGCCCCTGTGCTTTCCTTGGCTCTATTGCGTTTTGGTTTCGTTGTGTCTAACAAAATAAATGAGCGTGAGGTCCATTCCCATCGTTTTGTTCGTAGGCTACGTTATAGTAACTTGTCTTGTGATTAAGGCAAGAAAGAGGCTATGAGTTAGTCATGGGCGTGCGCCTATGACGAGCAAGTGCGCAGTTCGCAAAACCTCGCAGTTGGGTGCGAAAGCGGGTGAGTCGTTGTTCGATGTTTGCCACAATGGCAGTGCTGAAAAGTGCGCAGATGGCTCGAATTTTTAAAAAAAATCCTCCTTGGCTGGACTGCGTCGCATTTGTGTGTTTTGTACTTGTGTTATGCCCGACAAAATGTGGGAGAAGTCGCGAGGCAATGAGGACGTCCCAGTTTTCTTCTAAAAAATGATTAAATAAAAAAACTATACGTGGAAAGATAGCGAGAAAAACATTCAGGAAAATCAGCGCTCGTCAGCAGCCTTTCCGTCGCCGTCCTGTTTGAGTTGCAGCTATAATAGTCAACGTCATGCTCTAACGTATACGTCCGTTGACTCATGCGAAACTACAATGGCTGGATACCGCGAGACTGCGTTGTGGTTTTGCGTGATGCTGCATGAATATGCCGCTTCGCCTGTGTACGCGTTGGTCTATATGGTATATTTAATGCCCAAACGGAAAGAACAGAGGCAACCACCATTTCTGTTGATATGATCTTTTAGTTCAGAATAACAGGCGCATTTTAGTGCGCGCGCGCTGATAGAACCTTCGGGTTATTGTCTCACTAGCAGTGTCTTTTTTTTTTGTTTTATTGGTACGTTGTTTGTTGACTCTTTCGGCGGTGGATTAAGTGGTAGTGGTGTGTTTCAGACATCCTGGCATCGGCACAACCACTCCCGTCCCCGTTCGTTTATGCTTCGCAGGTCGCGGGATCGAATCCCGGCCGTCGCGGCCGCATTTTTAATGGAGGCGACTACGCTTGAGGCACGTGTGCTTAGATTTAGGTGCATGGTAAAGAATCTCCGGTGGTCGAAATTTCCAGAGTCCTCCACTACGGCGTCTCTCATTATCATATGGTGGTTTTGGGACGCTAAACACCAAATAATAATAATAATAATAATAATAATAATAATAATAATAATAATAATAATAATAATAATAATAATAATAATAATAATAAATTCTTATTATTATTATTATTATTATTATTATTATTATTATTATTATTATTATTATTATTATTATTATTATTATTATTTGTAGTAGTAGTAGTAGCAGTATTTATGCTTCGACCTATGTGCTCAAACACATCCACAAGATTTTTGTTTTTTTTATTTGTCAGAGGCATTGCGTTTTATGTGCAAGCAGTCCCAGCGTATACGTATGTGAGCCCGACTCAAACCGAGTGCTACTGCGTAATCTTGCGATATCTTACGAAAAAGAAAGTAATGATAGACGTCGGGAAAGCAGTTTGGTCTAGTTGGACGTGGTTGGCTGTTCTAAAGAAAAAGCTCGACGCTATAACGCGAGACGAGGCTTGGAAGTGCTGGTGTCGTTACGAGTTTCTTCCGTACTTTGTCCAACGTAGGTTACTGCTAAGTTGTAGTTTCAGCCGTAACTAAGGTGCCTCATTAAAGTTGAAATTTGGGGGAGTTGCTGTTAGTTCGTGTAAACTTGTGAAGCAGCGCACAGAGACGCTTGGCACTCTGATTTTTCAATTTAGTTATTCGTTCAATACGTTCATTGTGATTGGTCTTTAGGCGAAGGTGTGAACCTTGATCTTCTGTTAAACTAAACAAACTATAGTTTCGAGTGTAGTGGTTGTCCTGTCGAATGGTCTTTTTTTCTGCTGCGTCGTGTATCCGTGTGTGTGCTGCTTGACAAGTTAAATCAACAAAGGGTTCCTACGAAGGCAAGTACTGCTGACTGGGCGAGTCGGTGCATGATAAAATGATATTGCTTTAGCGCACCTCAGTTTGCTCAGCTCAGTGCAGTCAAGAAGGGCAAAGACAGACGACAATGCGAGTGCTCACACTGTCGTCTGTCTTTTCCCCTTCAAGACTGCATAGTATCTTTCTTTCACGCTCAAACTGAGCTGCGCTAAAGCAATATCATTTTTTTCCTACGAAGGTTTGTGGGTGAGCGAATCTCGCCTTCATTGTTGTGAATTGTCGTCCCGGTTGCAAGTGTCGCCGCGTTCAAGGCGACGCTGACAGCGTTTATTGAGCCGTACATAGGGGATTGCTTACTCGGAAGTCCCCAGCTGCGTTTGGAGTCTTCTCGGTTACCCCTTGTGTGCTAGCACGTGTGCCAATATATTTATGCAATAGCTGCCGCAGAAAGAAAAAAAAAACATAAACAAAAAAGAAAGTAACAAAAGAAGGCAACGGAATGTTGCGCACGTCTCTTTGTCGTGGGTTTGACGTCATTGCTTCCCTGCTTGGTATTTTTTTTTAAAGAGAAACAAGAATCTCGGGAAGGCATAAATTGACGTGAAAATACGGTGCGGAATAAATTCACGAGCTTGAAAAGCTGCAATATCAGGGGACAACTCGTTAATTTCTCCAGCGTGTAGAGGACAGAACATTTTGGTGTACACGCGAAGAACCTGCGCGTTTTCAAGCTTTCACGTCTGGTGATATGAAGGAAAATTGATAAGAAAGCGAGTGTTTATTTCACCCAGCTTTCTTGGAGCAAAGGTAATTGGCACACACAGCTCTTAAGTTGACATGGTTCGATAAAATGTGGGCCATAGTGTAATGAAACACAAAATTTCAAAGACCATATATAGATGCAGTGTGATATTTCAGTGGAATGAAATGCAAACTTACAAAGTTTGCACTTCCTTTCGCCGAAATATTGCGCTGAACCTGTGTGAATTGAACAAATAGCTATTTTGTGGTGTAATAATTGATTGATTGATTAATATGTGGCGTTTAACGTCCCAAAGCCACCATATGATTATGAGAGACGCCGTAGTGGAGGGCTCCGGAAGTTTCCACCGCCTGGGGTTCTTTAACTCACTCGGAAAGTTCCTACGACAGGCTGTGTAAGCCTATACAGCGGCTACGGTGTTGCATAGGCTGTCCTACGTTGTAGGCGGCGGATTCGACTTCCAGCCATGGCTGTCGATCTTCGACTATGTCGCAGTACGAAGACACCCGTCCGCAATTTTACGAGCATAAAAGAGTTTCTACTCTCTCATCTCCCCCCCCCCCCCCCCAACACTCCCTTATGTTCTCGCGCTCTGAAATTCGCCACCGTGAACCCAGATCAGCTATCCCAAGATCCACTTATTGTATTAACATCAGACTACCTTACCTATAGAGGTCTGATAGTGCACAATCACGATACATTTTTTATGCAGTGGCCGTGGCAGAGCAGCCCATTGGTTGCTTTTCTTAATTAGAAGGCCCACCTTCGTGTTTAATAATTTTTTAAAATCGTGTTTTTCCATGGACGTGACATGTGAAATGCCCGTGGACTTTGCATATATCGGTGCACGTATAAAAACATCGAGTACAAATTTCCGGAGCCCTCCACTACAGCGTCGCTCATAATCGTGAGAGACTTAAATCGAAGCGATTATGTTACTGTGATAACGTTCTTGGAACTCTGCTGACTCATCATAATGTTTCGGCTTTGTATGATTGGACTGGTGGTGCCCGTTTCTTAAAGCAGTGATGGAAGTGCTGCTCCAGTTTCTCCTAACTGCTGCAAAAAAGAAACTCTGCTCTATGCTTCTCCAAACGCAAATTTTTGTTTGCAATTGTTCTAAAGCTGCTCCAAAATGGCACCTGAATAATAAGAATGACGAACTTTTAGGGTTTGACCGGCTCAAAAGTCCTCATTGAACTGAAAGTAATCGGTGTACTATCATCCTAGTTTGCTACTAGTGTGCAGCATTGCTGGCTCTGATCTCACTTGTTCGACAATAACTGGCATATTAAGCATATAGCTCCTTTGGCTTTTTTTTTCAGCTAGACATGCAGGATAATTGTTATCCAATCTGAAAATGAGCAGGATTGATTTTATCTCGTACCAGTTAACTACTGCTTATTTGGCAACAGTGATATGGGATTGTGATTACTTCTAAAATGTGGTTCTCACCTTTTCCGGTTTGATTTGATTTATTGCCGAAAATACCGGTATTTTAAACTGTACCTCATTTCACAGCACATGTTTGACTACCCATTTCGTAAGAAATATTAATATCTACGAGATGCTTTGAAGATGCTCCGCATTCCTATTAATGTATGGCAAATTCAATTTATGCTATTCACTTCTAAGCTGTGGTGCTCAGCCTTTTCGATTTTGATTTGATTTCTGCTGAAAACACTGGTATTTCAAATTGTAGCTCATTTCACAGCACATTTTTTGACAACCTGTTTTGTAAAAAAAATATTCATATCTACGAGATGCTTTGACGACGCTCCGCACTCCTATTAATGTATATGGCAAATTTAATATATGCTCCTAGAACACCAGTAGCTGCTCGTAGCATTTTTTTTCCCTGG